AATATCTCCCATTCCATGTTTTAATTAGAATTGCTTGTTAAGATAGTATGCAACTGAAAAAAAAATGTGGTATTAAACCTTTTAAAACAAATAAAACCAAATAAATCAAAGCCCCCACACAAAACATTGGAATTGAGCTTATTCCCATTGATAAAAACAGAGACAAACATATGAATTTTCCTTTTAAGCTCATTTGTATCTTATGTAATTTTCTGTCTGTTGAGGAAATAAACTCAGTTTAAGCTAGATTACTTACTCTCTGCGATGCTTTATGCTGCTTTCACGACAAAGCAGACCCTCTTCACATGGGCAGATCTGGTTGATGCTGAAGGCCAGGCCGCCGTCAGGAACATAGCAACTCTCGTTAAGAACCAGCTGCTTCTTGCATACCATCTCACCATGATGACGAGCACAACACATCGAAGCCCCACAGTCTCTGTCAGCTTTACATCTGGACCCTTATTGAGGAAAAACAGGTGTTAAACTACATATTCCCCATGCATTTCTATCTAGAAATTTCTTACATTTTGTACTTGAACTTTTTAGAGCTCTTAGTCCTGTAGGTTAATTAGAAAATATAAAAGAGCTAAATTCATCATAAGAAGAAGCAGATATTTCTACACTCGACATGCAAAAGAAGTAAGGAAAAAAGAAAATAAGAACATGAAAAGGGGAAGAAAGAATAACAGGGGTCCATAGAAGAACATATGGCGGACGCTGACAAAGAAAACCAGGAAATGAGGAAAGGAAGAGTACAAACGATGATACAATGAATGATAACAGGAAGGAATAAGGAAAGAAAGAGCAATGCAATCATGCAAGAAATAAAGTAAGAAAGCAAACAAGGATTCAAAAGAAAGAAATTAAAAATAAAAAGTGTAACTGCAAAGATAGATTTGATATTGAATCAATTCTATATATATCTTTACCCTCTTGTCCAATGGGAATGCTGCGGTGACACCTTCCAAACATGCATTTGAGTCCACGGACACACTGAGCATCCCTTCTACAGTACTGGCCCTCTCCGCGTAAAGGCACGCAAACACTGAAGTGTCGATCGCATGAGAAACCACGTCCACAAGCTCTGTCACTGTCACACACAGCCGGCAGGCCCTGCAGTCAGAATAAAACCCAATTCATATTCAGGCTTACAGGCTAACAGAGGACTCATTTTTACATAGTGATATGTGAAATCAAAGGTTCAAAAAAAGCATGCAGATTCTTACCGTGAATGCTTTTGCCACAGGAGTGCTCTCTCTAAGAGCTTTAGGTCCTTCTTTGGGAGGGCTGTGAGGCATATTAAGCATCCAGGCCCAAATACGAGCATCAGTACCAGAGATCCACAAAAACAGAAGAACCAGGTTTGATTTCCCCAACATCTCAGAGACCGACAAAAACCACATCAAGTGAGAGAAATTTCTTAAAGGTATGACTCAGAGTGAGAAAACTAGAAATTTCAAGAGGTCCACCAGTGAGGAGATCAATCCAGAGACAACTGGCTGGCTCCTCTTCTGTTATGACTTTTATAGGCCAACAAGGTTTGACCTCCCCCTCTCCCTACTGTTTGTCCAGGCATCAGGGTAGGAGGAGACAATTAGTTTTTAATGGATTAACTAAATTGACTAAGCTACCCCCTGCAGGTAGAAAACAGTGGCCGAATGAGAGGACATGGGGTGCTGACAACAGTCTATGACAATAGAACTGCGACAAGCACCACCTCTGTGTGGTTATCTCAGCCAGACAAACAAACAAGCAGGACAAAAGAAGACAAATGCATGACATGTTTCACTGCTCAGAGTGACAAGTGCTGCCACTAAAGGTCCTGGCCCCAAAACTATGAGCAAACAGTTTTGGCCCCGACCTTTAACGTTGCTTTCCCCCCTAAACTATCCAGCTTCAGACCCCTCACTGAGAGCAATTTGGAAAAACACACCCAGCAGAAGACCCCATGATCTCATTAAGAGTAATTACAATCAGACATTAGTCTTCCCAGGCAGAAAAGCTGGGAGAGCTGATGAAAACAAAGATGTTTTTTTTTTTCCCCTGCACATTTCTCTTCAACGGGAGCAGGATCTCAGACAAACTATCTGACTATGAATAACTATAAATAAGAAACCTTTTAATCGTGAGTCTCGTCCTCATTATCTCCTATTTATGCAAGTTCTAGCAGCACTGCCATCTTTCTTCTCTGTCAGGAGTTAAAAGTGGCAGGTACTTTTACATTTATGTTTAGTTGCAAGTTTTTGGTTTGCTTTTAGTTTTGTTTTTCTTTCATTTCCTGCATTCCTAAGGTGATGAAAATTACTTTCCCACTTTCACCAAAACATGTCTTTAAGTGACTTAATTATTCTATTATTATAATTATTTGTATTATTTATTCCTTTATCACTTCATCTGTTAAATGTAAGGGGTATTTGTGATCACTTGTTTATTTTGCAAAAACTGTAAGTTTTACTGTGGCTAAATTATTGCTTGAAAAACTCAAAAGCCTTAAAAAAGAAAGTAAACAATGTACCACTGAGTGTTTAGAAATGTAAAAAAAAATGGCTATTAGTGAATAGAGAATGTAAGTTTTATCAGATTCTTCTGAAGAAGAAATAATTAAAGGTATTTTAAAAATACAGTTGTCAAACCACTAATAAAAATATAAAGATTTGATTTTTAAAAATAAAACAAAAAGACCAAAAACCCTAAAAATTGGATAAAAAGAAAAAGTAAACAGAAAATGTATTATTTTTGTACTTACTCAAAAATAGGTCAATGAACTTTGAAGCTTCTTACATGGACAATCCAAATACCGTCTAATTTTTATTTAATCATCAGACAAGGCAAAGACTGAAATATTTCAATATCTAGAGGAGTCCTTCTAAAGTTATCAGACATAGTAATATTATATCACTTGTTGCATACGCAGTTGGGCAACTACAGCTGCCTGTGAACAAGAGATAAAATGATTTCTAGCTCCAAACTGGGAAAAGTCATCTCAAATAATCATCTAAATTTCACAATTGGATATAAAACCTGGTGGTTTTATAACATACCAAAAAGTGGTATGTTAATTAAGAAACTACAATATGATTACATTTCTTCAACGTTGTTTATAAAGCAAAACTATTGAAGAGTCTCTAATAGGCACAAAACATCACGGGACACAAAAACTATTTAAATAATCAATACAAACTGAGCCCAGAATATTAGTCAGAGAATACGCAAAAAAAGCTAGGGTTCACATTTTGTGCTTTCATAAATGAAGAAAAGAAAAAAAAAAACCGCACCCATTTGTTATACTAAATAATAACAAAATAAATCGACAAATTGCAACAAAGCTAATGACTTGCTAGCTTGAACTGTCTGAAATTGGTTTGAAAGATACACAAAACTTTCACTTCCAGTCTAACTGGCTTCCAAGTACGGATGTGTTGTGAAATGCAGCCCTGTTTTATAAACTTTCCATGCAGGAATAGGTAGTACATGTAGATGTAAATTAGTTCCAAATGGCCTTTGTCGAGTACTCAAATGCTAGTTTTGTTTTTTTTTTTTGTTACCAACTCTAACACCCTTGAGTGTGGCAACACAGCAGGGAGGCATTTTTTAACACCTGTTCTTGACACTGGCTTGGTAGTTTGCTCCATCTACACCTTCAAGAGTTTCTGCTTCAACAGCTGATAATACAAATATCCCCCATTTCCACTGGTGTGTGATAATGTCAACTGTTTTTACTTTGCATGTGAATTCTGCTCCATTTGGAGTTTATCCTCTTTGGCGCCTGAAAGGAAACCCCCTCCTTGGTCTAAGACTTGGGTGTAAAAAAATTGAAGTTTCAAACATTTCATACAATTAAGGGAATATATGAAAAATATAACCATAAGCTTTTATAATCTGTAAAACAATCACTACCATCTAGGGCAATAATGGCAGACATTTTATTTTATTGAGTCTGTTTTGAAACTTAGAACCTGTATTTTGAGTTAAACATAATCTTTTCAATGGAGTCTGTCAGAGAAAAGCCCTCTATGTTTTTTTTTAAATTATTTTTAAGATTTGCTGAGTGCTCTGTGAGTAATACTTCATGTTTGACAACACAATTGACTTCTTTGAGTTTGTTGCATTTCTGCTGAACATCCATCCTTCTCCTGCCGCTTGTATGCCATGGTCATGGGATCTAATGCCTATCTCCCGCAGTCTTTTGGCAAAAGATTTAGCACAACCTAGAAAGGTTGCCACTCCAGCATAGGGAAACCCAGAGGCACACACACACCTAAGGGCAATTTAGAGATTTACCCAACAGCCCAGTGTTGGGACTGTGGAAGGAAGATAAAGTACCCAGAGAGAAACCATGCATGCACAGAGAGAACATGCAAACACACACATAAAGACCAACCAAAGACAAAATACTCAGAAATAGTAAGTCGGCTTTCTGCAAACTTGGGAAAAGTAAATCTATTCCAGTGGTTGCTTGGAAATTATTTTGTGTGTTTTGTGTCTTTGTTATATATTACACAAACCTTTACCTGATATTTTGGTCCATACTAATGTGTTAGCATCTAAAAGCTGCAGCAACTTTGTCCTTAATGTAAATTTCTTATTCCATAATGTCTAAAAGGAGCTATATTTTTCTAGAGGCCTTTGAAGTACACAGAAGTCATTGTGATATTCAAGAAAGTAAATAATTTGGGTTTTTGAGATTATGCATGATCCTCTGTCCTGTTGGATTATAAAGGAATAGACATGGTCAACAATGAAAGGACCTTTATAATGGTTCTCCAATCGCTAATTTGATTGTCAAATGTCGTTCAGTTTTTTGTTTTGACTTCTTGCTGCCATGGCCTCTCATCTTCAAGGTTAGACATGTTCTCTGTTCGCGTTTTTCTGCATACCAAATGTTACATTTCTCTCTGCTCTAAACAGATTTTATCTTAAATTATCTCACATTTATGAGTTTTTATTTCATTCTCAGCATCAAGGTTGTTCATTTTATTAAATTTTTTGTTTATTATAACATTGCATGATCCTTGGGAACTTGACTGGGTTGTAATAAAACTGACCCCCTACCTAATTAATTAGCATTCAGTGTTTTAACACATTTGTTGCTGAATTCACATGCTCTCTGTATCAGACAGGACATATCAGATACAGACATTTACTGTCTCAGCTTTAGTCCTTAACAAAACAAACTAATGACTTAATTAGTGGTACATTATAAGGACAATAGCAACAACTGGTGTATGCAAATCATCGTAGGGCAAGAGAACACTTATCTAAACCAAACTGAGTATTTACTCTTACTGTAAGGAAAGTAGGAGTATCAGCCTAGTGTTTTGTAATATAATGTAAATAAGACAGACTTCACTTATCATGTTCTTTAAAACGTATATTGTTGTAACACATCATTATTGACAAGACAACATCTTGTTTATTTCCCTGGAAACCAAACAACAGATAAGGGGTCTTAGTGGTTAGTTTGTCTCAGCATTAATGACCCTGTTAATGACGCCTGTAATGAATGTTCAAACTGCAGGAATCAACATGGCTGTGAGTGTTGCATTTAATGAATAACAGAAACAATGGGTAAGCTGACATCTTTTCATTGTGATGGATCTTTGCCATCTATGGACAAATCGCAACACCTTACAATTACCGTTAAGAAACTATTAGTTGTGGGAAGGATAAAGGCATTGTTTTGTGTGTTGTTCCAGCTTAACTTTAATGATTACTTCTCAGTTCTTCCAGGTTTAAATAAAATCAACTTGTCTTCATGGTTTTGTCAGCTAGACATGTTGAATAAAGCTCACAGCTCCAACATGAACTAGTATCTGAAAATAAAAAACAATAACTATCACATTGATAACAAATAAGTGTAGCAATGATGTAATTCCCTAGCATTTGTACCCAACCACACATGTCATTGTGAAGCTGTTTAAATTGAATTGGCTTTTAACCATTTAAATCAGTATTCCACAGAACAAACCACACAATAACACTGCATAATCAAACGATACAGAAAATTGATGTCTTGAGGAAGGGACACAGATTTTAGCTAACTGTATGGAGGAAAGCAAAACCCAGAACCAGACCGAACCAAAGCTGCAGTCATTTAGGGCTTGGAAGCATGAGGTTGTGGGTTCGAAACCCACTGCCATAGACTGCAACTCTGGGTTTCTGAGCAAGACCCTTTACCCCTGATTGCATCCCACGGTGGCAGCCTACTGCTCCCTAAGGGGATGGGTTAAATGCAGAGGTAAATTTCTCCAATGTGAGATCAAAAAATGTTCGATTATTATTATTATTATTATTATTATTATTATCCAATCAGATTCATGCACACACAGACTGACAGAATTGTAAAAAAAAAAGTGATTTGTCACCCAGGACCAGCAGCGGCACCCCAGGACCCCCATGAACCAGGCTAAGTAAGGAAAAAACTTTAATATTTAGTCCAAAAACCCAAACTCATAGA